CTGGTTGTGGGTGCTGGGAGGCATGGCTGAGGCACCCAGACCTCCTGCTTCCCTGGCTTGGGGGCCCAGGGGGCTTCCGGTCCTTCTAGGTGTTATAGGTGTTCTTTGGCCAAGTAAGACCTTTATTAGTTAATACCAAACTTTGTCTCTGGTCTATGGGTACTTTGTTTTTTCTTCCAGTTCTGTGTTGGATTATTTGCTGTTCCCACCACTTAAACTCTTCACTAGAACTAATTTGTTGTCCTTTGCTTACTTCTAAAAGAGGAACTTCCTGTGGGGCCAGCACTTGAGTTCTGTGGTTGACCTAAACTGTTGCTTTGCTGCTGATTCCCTGGGGAGGGCTTTTCATGCAGCTTAGGTTTTTTTTTTTGTTTTTTGTTTTTCTTTTTTTCTTTTTTGTGACTGGTAAGGGGATCGTAACCCTTGGCTTGGTGTCTCCCGCACCGCGGCTCAGCCAGTGAGCACACCGGCCATCCCTATATAGGATCCGAACCCGCAGCAGGAACACCGCTGCACTCCCAGCCCGGCACTCACCCGAGTGAGCCACGGGGGTCAGCCCTAATGGTTGACTTTGTAGGTACTTCCAGGTCTCCTGAGATCTGGTGCACCTGGGTTGTGTAGAAACTCTCTCTGCACCTGAGTCTTTTCAGTAAATTGCTCCCCCTGCTGTTCTATATTCCTGACCAGTCTCCACAGAGTGGGTCTACGCTAATTACAGGGCAGACCAGTTGTCCTTGCTGTGCCCCATGTTCTCCTGGTGGGCCCGTCTCCCCCACTGCCCGCACTCCAAACACTTCCCATGGGATGGGATGTGCACAGGTCCCTTGCGATGACTCACTGGCCTCTGAATGGCTCCTTTTTTTCAGTTGTTGTGGCTCCTACACTCCTATGTGTGTCCATGGGAACTCTGTTAGCGGTCTTGGTGGTCTGAGGGCAAACAAGGCCCTCTTTTCCCCTGCCACCTCCAAGCAACCCCACACAAAGAGCACAGCTGTGGCTTTTGCCAGCTCTTGCTCCATGCACTCAGCAACTCCAGCCTTGAAGGAGCCAGGGCTCAAAATGGTAGGAGCGATCCTTTCTTTCTCTCATCATGGCTTCTCCTGCCTTTATGTACTCCGTAGGTCTCTCCTCCTCTTCCCCTGAGCTCTAGCAACCCCAGCCTGGCTGTTGTTGTTTTTTAATAGTTGTAAGTTGGTTGATTTGTGGGAGAGAGTGATTCTGGCAACCATCTATTCTGCCATCTTGACTGGAAGCCCTAATAATAGCTTAACTTTATTGAGCACTTACAATGTGTCCGGTATTGAGGTTTTTGTTTTGTTATTTTGGCTCCTTTCAGGTCAACACTTGAGTTCTGGCTAATGAAGTGACTTAGGGTGGGGTCCCTAGATAGCCTCAGGATGGTGCCAGTCACCAGAAAGACCTAATGATTATGGGAAGAGAGGGTTGGAACTTTTAGATTCACCCACCAACCTCTAGGAAGGAGTGGGGGTGCTGAAGATCAAGCTCTGTAAAAACTCTTGAGCAAGAAGATTTGATGAGCTTTCAGGTTGCTGATCACATGGAGGTGGTGGGAGGTTGGTGTGCCCAGAGAGAGCATGCATGGAAGCTCCACACTCCGGGCCCCATACCTGGCTCTATCCATCTCTTCTTCTGGCTGTTCATGTGTATCCTTCATAATAAACTGACAAACATAAGTAGGTGTTTCCTTGAGTTCTGTGAGCTATCCCCGCAAATTAATTGAACCCAAAGAGGGAGTAATGGGAGCCCCAATTTATACCCACTCAGTCAGAAGTATAGGTGACAACCTTGCAACTAGTGTCTGAAGTAGGGAGCAGTTTTGTGGGACCGAGCCTGATCCAACGCTATCTCTGGGTAGATAGGGTCAGATGTGAATTGGATTATAGTACACCCAACTGGTGTCCACTGGAGAATTGTTTGGAGCGGGGAGAAACCCACATACAGCTGGTCTCAGAAGTGTTCTGTGTTGTGTGTATGTAGAGAGAAAACAAAGTTTGTTTTTTTCTATTATAAGCACTTTATGTATACTATCCTATTTAATTCTCACCACAACCCCATGAAGTAAGTACTATTATCATCTCCTGTCTTACAGTTGGGGAAAACAAGGCACAAGAGGTTTAAGGAACTTGTCCAAGCTTTCAGAGCTAGTAAGCGGAGGGTCAGGGATTGCAGACAGTCTGGCTCCAGAGCCCATGTGCTAATATTAGCTACCATTTATTGAGCACTTACTCTACACCAGACACTGGGGTCAGCACCATCTTCTTTAATCCCAACGACACTGTGAGTTAGGTATTACATTCACCATTTGAGGAACTGAGACTCAGAGAGATTTTGTCACTTGCCTAAAGTCACTCAGCCAGTGAGATGAGGCAGGCTCCACCCCCAGATGGGCCTGGCCTGAAAGTCTGGCCTCTAGCCCACCTGCCCAGACAATAACGTTTTAGCTACTTTGTCTTTTTGAAGAGAAGATGATGTCATGCTTCTCCTGAAAACCTTTCAATGGCTAGCCACCTTGCTTCTAATAGGCCAAGATTCTTGGTAGTTGGTTTCCTCGTCCTGCACTTTCCCCCTTACCTGTCACATTCTCACCACACTGGCTTCTTTCAGTTCCTTGATCAATGCAAACTCTTACTTGCTTCAAAGCCTTTGCACATGCTGTTGCCTCTGAGAAGAACTTTTCTCTCTCCCTTCATTCAGCTAACCCATCTTCTGGGGACTCAGCTTAAATGATAATGCCTAAGATGCTGCAGTCTCTCTTAAGTCTCTTATGTCACACTCTCTTAATGCTCTAAAGCATTCTGTGCTTTTCCCTGTTGCAGTTATTACAATTTGTAATTATACATCATCTATTGGTGTAATTATTTGATTAATATCTGTCTTCTCCAACTGAATGGGAGCTCCAGGAGGGCTGGAGCCATATGTTTTATTTACCAATGTTTATAGCTGACACAGAAGTCTAACCTTGGACTTAAGACATTTTCAAAGTGAAAACTTTTGGTTTCTTTGCAGAGTGAGTTTTTGTTGTCTGATACACTGGGATTTCTCTTTCACAGTCTGCAACCTGAGTTCTGAGATAAGACAGATTAGCAACTTTACTGTCTTTTTTCACCCACTTGTGACATAGGATAAAATGTGGGCCCCCAAGAGCACCAACTGGCTGGGAGGGGTAAGGACCTTACTATGACCAAAGTGGAAAGAGGCCTTGAGGTTGTTAGTGTAAAATTGGAGTTTTGCAAATGATGGGACTGGACAGGGCACTTAGTCAGAATGAAAATGAAAGGTTGCAGATCCTGCCTGAGCTTGAAAGGGGAACTGTGTGATGAATGGGGGTGGGGAGAGGTCCTGGAGAGTCAATACTGGCGGCTTTATCAGCCGCCGCTTAGCTTCTGCTTTCAGTATCTGCTGTGACCAGATGGTGTGCAGCGATCTCTCTGGCTGGCTGAACCAAGAAGGAAATAAAACTTCTCCAGTCTTTGTATAAACCCTGTCAGGCAGGGAACAAATTCCCCTTCAGCAGTTAGCTGTTAGCAATTTCTCTCTCTCTCTCTCTCTCTCTCTCTCTCTCTCTGTGAAATCTTATCTTTGATCCCTAAGTGGACTATATTGATATCCCAATCAAATATTGACCTAGGATTTTTCACTAATTCCTAAGACTTTCTCTCCCCTTCCCTAAATCCAGCCATCCTGAAAGATTTCATTTTTCTTATGTATAGCTGGGCTTCCATATCCTCAGTGATGCTCCAACTTGTAGAACACTCCCATTAAAACAGGAGAAAACTTTCATAAATTCCTTTCTTCTCATGTTGTTTGGAAATATTTTAATGATAATTTTATCATTTAAATAATATAAATTGTTATAAAAGTATAAATCTATGTGTCCTTATGTTTATAGCTTCTCTATATCAAATCACACATATTTATAAATTAGATACAAACAAAATTACAAAAGTTAATAAAATAAAATTTAACATTATTAACTTAATGAGACAGGTGATATTTGAATGAAATATAATCACCAGCAACGTGAATATCATAGTGACGCATACATGGCAAGCTCTTTTACACTGGTCGGCCTGCACCACCGTTTGCTGAGCTGTGATTCAAGTCTCCCAGAATTTTCCTTTTCTTTGTTTTCTTCATCCCACGATGGTGTCATTTGGCTGTCACTTGGCATTAATGCATCATTTGTCTACACAAAAACCTGTACATGAATGTTCACAGCAGCATTATTAATATGTAATAGCCAAAAAGGGGAAACAACCCAAATGTCCATCAACGGAATGGATAAAGAAAATGTTGTACGTTCACACAATGGAATATTATTCACCTATAAAAAGGAATGATACATTCTACAACTTGGATGAACCTTAAAACTTTGTGCTGAATGAAAGAAGCCAGTTACAAAAGGCCACGTATTGTATGATTCTATTTATATGAAACGTCCAGATTAGGCAAATCCATAGAAAGTAGACCAGCGGTTGCCACGGATTGGGAGATGGGGTGGGGAAATGGGGAATAGGGAGTGACTGGTAATGTGCATGTGGTTTCTTTTGGGGGTGATAAAAATGTTCTAGAAATAGACGATCGTGATGGTTGGACAACTGTGTGAATATACCAAAAAACCACTGGAGCGTACATTTCGAAAAGGTGAGTTTTACGGTGAATATATTTTAATAAAAATTAAATTAAATTTTTAAAAATTGCAGGGGTGGACGGAGCTTATAGAGGTCCCTTCGTCGTCTAAGAAGCAGGCACAGAACGCAGGAGCCCCCAGCCAGACCAAGCGCAGAGCCACTCACTCTCCCTTCCGGAAAACCGCGGCCTTCACCAAGCCTCCGGGAGAGGAAAGGCCGAGCCTGGAGAACGCGGATTCGCTGAGCTGTAGAAGAGGGCGGAGCGAAGAGGGGTGCGTCAAGTCGATCTCGGCGGGGCGGGGCGAAGCCTTAGCTCGCGAGATTTTGCTGGTTCCGCATTTCGGGTCCTCGAGGTGGGGGAAGCGGGTTAGGCGGGCGCAGCGGCTTGCAGCGGCTTGAACCCCGGCTCGGAGCAGCAGCGGCACGGCTTCCGCTGTCCGCGAGCTGAGGACCGTCCGCTCCCTCTCGCCGGCTACGAATCCTAACCGGGGCGGGGGCCAGCGGCCCCTCCCCTCCCCTCTGAGGACCGAAGATGAGCTTCCTCTTGTGAGTGGGGCCGGGCCGAGGTCGAGGAGGGAGCCACAGGGGGCCTGAGGCGAGGGCCGGGCCCCGGGGTCGTGGTCGGCGTGGCTGGCGGTCGGTTTGCTTCTGCTCGGGTTCACGGGGGAGGTGGAGAGAGGCGGACAGCGATGAAGGTCGAGGCAAAGGAAGCGCGGCGAGAAGGCTGGGGAGAAAGGCCCCGAGGTCGGCAGCACCTCCAAACTTTTCCGCTCGAGCGCCCGCCGGAGCGGCTAGGCGATCTGGGGGCGGAGTCCTGGGCTCTGCCGCGGTTTCCCTATTTCTCTTAAGTCTCGAGCCTTTAGTAACGAACCGTGCTGGCTTAGGTTTTCACTCCATCATATGTCCAGTTTTATTGTTGTCAGCATTAAATTATTCCCTCGGAAAAATGCCGCCCCAGGAAAATGTGGAGTGCCGATGGTTGAGAAGCTTCAAGTTAAGATGCGGGCCTTGCAGCCAGATCCTTCTGTCCAGTTCTGATTCTGCCCACTTATTGGTTTTGTGGCTTTGTGTAAATTAACTCCTGGGCCCAAATGAGGCTTAAATGGAAAAGTTTGTAAATTCTCTGATGATTCTTATTACGCACATCAAGATTTGAGAATCGTTGCTCTAGCACCTTATTTACACTTCTCAGGTGGCTCTTTTTTACCTTATTCATTGCGTAAATATGTGTTATATGGTTGAATAAATATCCATTTTTCGTTATGGGCTTAATCCACATGCTTGACATTTTTATTAAATTTTATTGAATTACGCAGTTTCATAACCGGAGTTTATTTACCCACTTCTTTATTTTAAGAAATTTGGGTTCTTTCTAATATTTGCTATTATAAAATAGCACTACCAAAAATATCTTTGTCTAAATCTCATTTTCCCTCCTTTGGATTACTTTCTTGAGAGTATAGCCTCCAAAATTTGATTACCATGTCAAAAAGTCTGTATGATTCAGATTTAATTGCAAATTTCCATGTCACTAGAAGTGTTACACACCCCCTCCCCAGTCTTTTTCCTATGAGTTGATGTTTAGTTAGTGGTTTGTGAATGCACAGTTGCTTTGTGTACCTAAATGTGAGACTTTATTTCTTTTAAACTTTGTTTTGTTAATGGACACTTGAATTGTTTCCACTTTTTGGCTATTAGGAATAATGCTGCTATGAACGTTTGTGTACAGGTTTTTGTGTGGATACATGTGTTCACGTCTCTTGGGTATATACCTACCAGTGGAATTGCTGGTTTATATGGTAACTCTATGTTTAACCTTTTGAGGAAATGCCAATCTTTATCAAAGTACTGCACCATTTTACATTCCCACCAGCATTGTATGTGGATTCCAATTTCCCCACACCCTCACTAGCACTTGTCAAATGTCTGTCTTTTTTTGTTATAGCCATCCTAAGTGGGTGTGAAGTGGTATCTCCTGATTTCATTTGCATTTCCCCAATGACTAATGATGTTGAGCATCTTTAAATATACTTATTAGCCACTTCTATATATTCTTTGGAGGAAAGTCTATTCTGATCCTTTGCCCATTTTTAAATTGGGTGGCCTTTTTTTCCTTTCTCCTGGCTTCCCAAATATTTTGACATAGAAAATTGGATTTTTGAGCTGTGGGAACGTTAGGTCTACCTCCCTCCTTGCACCATTTTCTGTAGGTGGATATCGAGGTAGCATCTTAGTTATCTCAGAAGCTTCTTAGGTTTCTCAGGCACTCACAGAGTTAGTGAAATATCAAAGACTGTAATCCAGGTTATTTCTTTGGTTAAAGTGGCCTTTACAGCAGGCTTCTTTGTGGTGCATAGTAAAATTTACTTATTTGTGAAATTGTGCTGTTAATCTTGCTTTCGTGTGTGGAAAAAAATATGAAACATTCTTTTATTGTAATCATCCTCCCCCCTCCCATCTTGGCATTTTTCAGGGAGTATTTTTTATTTTATTTTACAGGGCGATTTATATGACTAAAATTATGCCATTCTGCTGCCAGCCCTAAAAATTCATATACTTTTACTTTTAACCTAACAGCAGCAGCCGCTCTTCTAAAACATTCAAACCAAAGAAGAATATTCCTGAAGGGTCTCATCAGTATGAGCTCTTAAAACACGCAGAAGCAACTTTAGGAAGTGGGAATCTGAGACAAGCTGTTATGTTGCCAGAGGGAGAGGACCTCAATGAATGGATTGCTGTTAATAGTAAGTTTAGTAAAATTCGACTTTACTGGTTTATAGAAAGATTTTGCTAAAATCTTCTGTTAATGAATTGTCTTTTACTGGTATAACTGTTTTAATATAACAGATTATCTGTAAAGAAACATGTAAGTACAAATACATCCAAAATTGTGTTCTCTTCAGCGTACTTGATGGTAGCTTGTGTGGTTGAATAGAGAGACCTAAGGGGAAATGTTGAGTGCTTTGGGGTAATTTCTGAGGAGAATAGTATAGAGTTGAGTAAAGTCAAATAAAAGATTGATAAATGCAAAGATCCTACCTGGGGTGGACCATGACTTTGTAGGGAATCTATCTGCACAGTTTTTTGCCCTCATTCCGAGTAACACTCATAAGCCTACATGTACAGAAAAGTCAGTTACAGTTCATCTAGTCAGTTGATTGTTTTGACTTAGGAATAGTCAGAAGGAAGTTGAGAGATTGAGAGAAAGTGGAGGGACCCATGAGCTGAAAGTCACTTTGACTTCAAGAGAATGAGGGCGTGACATGAAACAATATGCAGAGGCTAGAGATTTAGTGTGAAAGTGGTTTCTGATTTGAGATCAGTTCTGGGTGATAAAGTTTAAATCTATTAGGAATTTCAAATGTTCTAGGAATTTAAAAAACTTTTCAGTGGAAATTTTCAAACATATAAAAGTAGAGAAACTAGTATAGTGAATTTCGAGGTATCCATTATCCAGTTACAGCAAATATCAGTTTACGGCCAATTGTGCTTATTCTGTATCTCATTTTGATTATTTTGAAGCAAATCCCAGACACGTAATTTTATTTATAAATGTTTCGTTAAGTATCTCTAAAAGACAAGAACTCCTTTTAAAGATAGTGACGATACTGTCATTCTTTAACATTCAAATATCCAGTCAGTGTTCAGATTTACCCTGATTGTCCTATAAATATTTCTTGCTTTCTTTTTTTAAAATCTGTGCTTGGTTTAAATCAGGATAGTTCTATATGTATGTTTCTTGAATCTCTTAATCCACAGGTTTCCCCTCATTGCTGTCCTTTTTCCTTTCTGGTTTTTTTTGTTGTTGAAGAAACCAGGTCATTTGTTTTCCATAGTATGAATTTTGCTGATTATATCCCCATGGTATCCATTATCATGTTCTGTTCCTCCTTTTATTTCTTGTAAATGATAGATCTAAAACAGCAGTGGCTAATAGAACTTTCTGCAAAGGTAAAAATGTTCTTTCTGTCTCTTAACTGTGGCCATTTTGCACTTGAACTGTGGCTAGTGTGACTGAGGAACTGAATTTTAAATTTAATTTAATTTAAATAAGTTTTAAATGTAAATAGCCATGCGTGGCTAGTGGCTATCGTGTTAGCACAAATTTGGAGCCTTGATCGAGTTTAGGTTTTTTGGTTTGTGTTTTTTTAAAGACTGTTTCATAACTGGTGGTATATATTTCCACAGTGTCTAGTCATCTTTTTTTTTTTTTTCCTAATCACCAGAAGACCATAGTTTACATTAGGGTTCACTCTTGGTATTGTACATTCTATGGGTCTGGAACAAATTTGTAATGACATTTATCCACCATTGTAGTATTATGCAGAGTATTTCACTACCCTCAGAAGCCTCTGTGCTCTGCGTGTTCATCCCCCCTCCCCCCAACCTCTGGCAACCACTGATCGTTTTTACTGTCTCCATAGTTTTGCCTTTTCCACAACATATAGTTGGAATCATATAGTATGTAGCTTTTTCATACTGGCTTCTTTCACTTAGTAATGTGTATGTAAGTTTCCTCCATGTCTTTTCATGGCTTGATAGCTCATTTCTTTTTAGTAGTGAATATTCCATTTTCTGTATGTATCACGGTTTATTTACCCACTCACCAACTGCCATCTTGGTTGCTTCCAAGTTTTGGCAATTACTACTAAAGCTGCTGTAAACATATGCATGCAGGTTTTTGTGTGGATATAAGTTTTCAACTCCTTTGGGTAATACCAAGGAGCATGATTGCCAGTTGTATGGTAAGTCCATGTTTAATCTTGTAAGAAACCACCAGACTGTCTTCCAAAGTGGCTGTATCATTTTACATTCCTACCAGCAATGGAAGAGTTCTTGTTGCTTCATATCCTTTTCAGTGTCTGGTGTTGTCAGTGTTCTGGATTTTGTCCATTCTAATAGGCACGTAGTCGTATCTCATTGTTTTAATTTGCAATTCTCTGACGGCATATGATGTGGAGCATCTTTTTGTATACTTATTTGCCATCTGTCTATCTTTGGTGAGGTATCTATTAAGGTCTTTGGCCCATTTTTTAATTAAGTTGTTTGTTGTTGTCGAGATTTAAGAGTTCTTTGTGTATTTAGGGTAACAGTCCTTTATCAGATGTGTCTTTTGCAAATTTCTCCCAGCATGTGGCTTGCCTTTTTTTTTTTTTTTTTTTTTTTTTTTGTGACCGGGAAGGGAATCGCAACCCTTGGCTTGGTGTCGCCCGCACCGCGCTCAGCCAGTGAGCACACCGGCCATTCCTATAAAGGATCTGAACCCGCAGCGGGAGTGTTGCTGCACTCCCAGCGCCGCACTCTCCCGAGTGCGCCACGGGGCCGGCCCTTGTTTTTTTATTCTCTTGACAGTGTCTTTTGCAGAGCAGAAATTTTTAATTTTTTTTTTAAAGATGACCGGTAAGGGGATCTTAACCATTGACTTGGTGTTGTCAGCACCACGCTCAGCCAGTGAGCGAACCGGCCATCCCTATGTGGGATCTGAACCCGAGACCTTGGTGTTATCAGCACCGCACTCTACCAAGTGAGCCACGGGCCGGCCCAGAAATTTTTAATTTTAATGAAGTTCAGCTTATCAATTATTTCTGTCATGAATTGTGCCTTTGGCGTTACATCTAAAACATCATCACTAAACCGAGGATCATCTACATTTTCTCCTATGTTTCTCTTATGTCTTCTAGGAGTTTTATACTTCTGTGTTTTACATTTAAGTCTGTGATCCACACTGAGTTAATTTTTGTGAAGTGTGTAAGGTCTGTCTAGATTCATTTTTTTACATGTGGATGTCCAGTTGTGCCAGCACCATTTGTTGAAAAGACTGTCTTTTCTCTTTTGTATTGCCTTTGTTCCTTTGTCAAAGATCAGTTGACTATATTTATGTGGGTCTATTTCTGGGTTATCTCTTATGTTCCATTGATCTGTTCATTCTTTCATCAATACTACTCTGTCTTGATTATTGTATCTTTACAAAGTAAGTCTTGAAGCCAGGTAGTGTCAGTCTTGCAACTCTGTTCTCCTCCTTCTGTATTGTGTTGGCTACTGTGAGTCTTTTGCTTCTCCATATAAACTTTAGAACCAGTTTGTTGGTAACCACAAAACAATTTGCTGGGATTTTCACTGGGTCTAGTTGTTTTTATGTGGTATTAACCAGCTATTGATAATCATTGCCTTGATTGGTGCTGTTCAATAGAAATATAGTGTGTGCTGCATATGTAATTTTAAGTTTTCTAGTAGCCAGATTTTTAAAATTTTTGGTTTTTTTGCTGGCCAGTTATATCGCTTGGTTACAGCATGATGCTAATAACGCCAAGGTCACGGTTTCTGATCCCCGTACCCACCAGCTATCAAAAAAAAATGTTTTTGTTTTTCTTAACTCAAAAAGCCATATTCATATTGCTAAGAGAATAAAAACAAGGTACAGAACTATGTAGTATCTTTTGTGTAAGAAAGAGTAAAGAAACTTAGGGGGCAGGAGACAAAAAATTAGTAAAATGGTTACCTGTGTGTAAAAGGGGGGAGTTGCAGTAGTTGGAATCTAGATTTTCATTCTATGTTTATACATATTGTTTTGATATTTGAATCATGTGAAGTATTATTTATTCAGGAAAAAACTTTTAACCTTATTCAAGTTATCTGTTAGTTTGAAGGCATTTGTTGGCCTTCAGCCTTAGATTTGTTCTTTGAGATGAGCAGTTCTTAAACCTTTTGGTCTCAGCCTCCCTTTATTCTCTTAAAAATTATTGGGCCGGCCCGTGGCTCACTCGGGTGAGTGTGGTGCTGATAACACCAAGGCCATGGGTTCGGATCCCATACAGGGATGGCTGGTTAGCTCAATGGGTGAACGTGGTGCTGACAACACCAAGTCAAGGATTAAGATCCCCTTACCGGTCGTCTTTAAAAATAAATAAATAAATAAATAAAAATAAAAATAAAAAACAATATAAATATAAATATAAACCCATTACACATTAACATAAATATATTTTTATGAAAAAATGACTATCTTCCAAAATAAATTTTAGTGAGAAGTATGGCATTGTTTTATATTTTAGCAAATCTTATTTTCTATCTGTCTTAATAGACAGCTGGTTTTTCATGTCTGCTTCTACATTCAATCTGTTGTAATATCACACATCATGGAGCCTCCGGAAAACTCCATGGTACCCTTGTGAGAATGAGAGTGAAAAGAGCAATTAAAATAGTTTTGACTTCATAGATTCCCCCTGAAACAGGGGATCTCTGGAGTACATATGAGAACAGCTATTTTAGATCAAACCGGCTGCCATCTGGGCATATTCTTTGTTTTGAGTGAATATTAAGTACCTAAGTGTTACTTTCTTAGAAACATGACTAATTAGGAGTAAGGTTTATAAGTGAGGGAGTTTTCTATAAACTTCCTTTTGACAAGATGGAATTTTAAAAATCTGTTTATTTTTTAAGAAACTTGGAAAAGCCCTAGTTGAGTTTTAGGTACCCTTTTAGACAGGGGACTAAAACATTTAAAAAACTTTCCAAGGCTTATGTGGTTCTCTTTGCACCAAGTTAAGTTTGTTATTCACCCTTTTTGTCTCCTGTTTTCTTCCAGATCTAGCTGAATGAAGCTCCTTTAGCAAGTATTCCTTGACTACATCAACTCTTCATGACTGAACTCTCTAGCACTTATTGTTGGCCTTTGAATCCTATCTTCTTTTTTTGGGGGGCGGGGGGGCAGCTGGCTGGTATGGGAATCCAGACCCTTGGCCTTGGTGTTATAACACCGTGTTCTAACCAACTGAGCTAACCAGCCAATCCTGTCTTCTTGTATCTTGTATTATTCATGTCTTTAAATTTTGTCCCTTCTGTTAGCTGGAGACTCCAGGGTAAGGGACTTTATCCCAAGTCTTTTTTATATTCTCAATGTACTGTAGGCCTCAAATGTTCGTGATGAATTATATATTTTTAAAATGCCTGTTGATACGACTGATACATGTTCTCCCTCACAGTATATTCCACAACACTTTTTTCTCTTTCCTATTGCAAATGGTATTCTCTGGTCTAGATTGATAAGAAGCTATGGTTTTTCATTCCCTTGGATGTAATCATATTTCATATTCTAATGATATAATAGTTGCCATTAAGTTAGAATTATCTTTAGTAATTTATTTTCCTGCTGTTATATGCTGGTTAAAAGCTTAGTATATTATTATTATTTTGTTGTTTTTTTGTTTTGGTGGCTGGCTGGTAAGGGGATCCGAACTCTTGACCTTAGTGTTATCAGCACCATGCTCTAACCAAGTGAGCTAACTGGCCAGCGACAAAAGCTTAGTACATTAAAAGTTGACTTTTTCCCAAAGACAGCCATTTTCCAAAAAAGTTAACTTTTTTTAGGTGTGACAACTTAAGAGAATTTATAGTATTGTTCGATTATTGAATCTCCCAAGAGTTCAGCCAAGAATTTAAATGCATTGTCCATTTTTCCTGTAACTGAGAAGTCTGACGTTTTGTTGTATTTACACAGACATTTTAACACAGTTTTGCTACTATCTCTGCAGCTGTGGATTTCTTTAACCAGATCAACATGCTGTATGGAACTATTACAGAATTCTGCACTGAAGCAAGCTGCCCAGTCATGTCGGCAGGCCCAAGGTACATATTCTGCCTGTCATATAGGCATTTGGATTACCGTTGCTTTAGCATAGTTGGTATAAATTAAATAATAACTTTTTGTTTTTATTATTTGTTTGCTTGTGTAAAGGCAATTCAATTTTATTAGTTCTAGAATACTCACCTATAAATAAGCTTTTGGTTATTATTAAATAGTTTAGTATGTGGGTACTCAGTGTTTGGATTTTCCTGTTGTATCATAGTAATTCTGAATGTTCTATTGTAGGAATAAAAGTATAGAAATTTGAGTTATGTTTATCTTGGATTGCAAAAGTTCTATTCTTTTCAGTTTTATTAACATTTATGGTTCCTGTTTCTAGTTTTTAAATGAATTTCTTGAAAGAGGTTTTAGCCTTTTAATATTTGATTATTTTTTTGTGTGTGCTTATTTAGCATTAACTAAAGCAGCTCAATTTAGAAGTAATTGAGTGGCTTAAAAATGCTAGCTTAATATATTTTGACTGTAATAAATTTCAAGAAATATTGAAAAAGAGGCAGAACTCTTTATCAGCCATAATGTTAAGTCAGTATGTGATGGGATCAATCTTTTGGTGTGTTTTCCTTTCAGTCTTTTTTCCCTATAATATTTGCTGATTTTATGTGGTGATAGATGATATCAAGAGGTTTGCCTCTTGGAAAAGATTGTCCTGTACGACTTTTCTGCAGGTACAGAGGAGAACAGATCCCCAATGAGTTTGTAGTCATATTTTTATTATAATATTTTAGGAGGGATGTTTTTATTTTATATTGTATTGTTTTATTCCTCAAACTTTAAAAGAAATTAAAATAATTAGGAAAATTAAACTTATCTATGGCTTAAAATACAGTGAAGTTTTCATAAATCTTGTTAACTTTTCTAGCTCAGCAAAGGTGAAGGGGAAAATATACATGCTTAGTGGTATTTCTCTAACACCCTGTCCAAGAAACAGGGTTTTATATCTTGGCTTCTCAGGTGATAATCACCTGATGGCCAAGGATCTCAGAATGTAGTGGATCCTTCAGCTCCTCATCCAGTCCTCAGTACCTCTCTGCCTTGTAGATAGGAATACAGTTCCTTTATCTTTCCCACGGCAGTGGTATAAAACATCCATGCTGGCACTGCCATCTACTACATTATCTCCCTTTTGTCTACCAATTACAGCCATCACATTTCAGAATAATTCTATAGAAAACTCACACTAATCTTCAGAATAATATTAGGTAATTTAAGTTATATATAACTTCTGTTGACAAAATGTGAACCTGCTTTGATCACAAACTGCACATTTGTTAATGTTTTTGAAAACTTTTTTATCAGTAAAACATTTTTCTTTCTAGATATGAATATCACTGGGCAGATGGTACTAATATTAAAAAGCCAATCAAATGTTCTGCACCAAAATACATTGACTATTTGATGACTTGGGTTCAGGATCAGCTTGATGATGAAACTCTTTTTCCTTCTAAGATTGGTGAGTTAATGTTGTAGAACTATTTTTCTTTTTGAATGATAAATGTGCTCTTTTTAATACTCTATTACTTTAAAGAAAATTTAATAGAGACGTCCAAATTCTTCTCCAAAAAGTTTGTGCCAGTGTGTACTCCCTCTAGCCATGTTTGTGTCTGCCTGTATTTCTTCACCAACACTGGTTATTACTTCTTAATTTTTTATCTTTTCTAATTTGGTTAAATAAATTTCTGTTTTAATATACATTTAAAAAGTGTTGATGAGGGCCGGCCTGGTGGCGCACTCAGTAGAGTGCGGCGCTTGGGAGTGTGGCGGTGCTCCCGCCGAGGGTTCGGATCCCATATAGAGACCGGTCCGCTCACTGGTTGAGCGCGGTGCGGGCACGACACCGAGGGTTGCGATCCCGTTGCCGGTCGCGGTACAGGCGCGACACCAAGAGTTGCGATCCCGTTACCAGTCATGAAAAAAAGACAAAAAGGAAAAAAAAAAAAGTGATGATGAGACTGAGCATTTTTTGGTTTATTGATCATTGTGTGTTCTCTGTTTATATTCTTTGTCCATTTCTTGTTTTTGTTTTTGGCAACTGGCCAGTATGGGGATCTGAACCCTTGACCTTAATGTTACAACACCGCACTCTAAACCAACTGAGCTAACTTCTTTGTCCGTTTCTGTGTTAAAGATATTAGCTCTTCGTCAGGCATGTTATATATATTTTTCCCAGGTCGCCCTATTTTGTTCATGGGGTATTTTTGTTCTGTGGGGGTACTTCAAAGAGTTCATGGAAAAGTAGAATTAAAAGATGATACGAATCTTCCCATGAACTTTTTGAAGTACCTTTGTATATAACTTGCTTATTTTGTCTTATTAATCATTTCCTTTCTGACCTGGTTTTAATATGGTGACTAGAAAGCTTTTCCCTACTTCAGGATTATAAAAATATTTATCCATATTTTTATTTAGTACTTTTGTGGTTTTGTTTTTACATTTAAATCTTTGGTCTGTCAGGAATTTTTTTTCTGATCACTACATTAATTTTTTTCCAAATACAAATGTTAGCCAGTTTGCCTCAATACCATTTATTGAATACATTTGTCTTTTTTTTCCCTGATTATCTTATGTGCATAACAAATTACCATATATTTTGGGCTCTGTTCCTGTAGAAATTCCAGTTTTAATTACTGCGGCCATGTATCTTTTAACATCTCATAGGGTTAGTCTCCCTTTCTTGCTGTTCTTTTTCGAAATATTCATAGCTGTTCTGGGATATTTGTTTTCCAAAGAACTTAAAATCATTTTGTCAAGGTAAAAACAATCTTAGATTTTAATTATGATTGCATTCAATTTTTGTAGATTAATATAGGGATCCATGTTCTCTCTGCAATATTCAGTCTTCCTAGCCAAAAACAAGATATCTTTCTTAATTTATTCATGTCTTTTATTTATTATCTTATTTCCTCTTGGAAAATTCTATAGTTTACTTTATGTTAATCTATCAAGTTTCTTAAGTTTATTCCTAGGCATTTTATGTTTTTTATTTTTTTAATTTAATTTATTTATTTATTTACTTTTTGTCCTTTTTGAGACCGGCAGCACCGTGCTCAGCCAGTGAGCGCTGTGAGCGAACCGGCCATCCCTATATAGGATCCGAACCTGTGGCGGGAGCGCTGCTACGCACCCAGCGCCGCACTCTCCCGAGTGCGCCATGGGCTCGCCCCTATGTTTTTTATTGATATCTGGTTTCTTTTTTTTTTTTTCTCCTTTTTGTCTTTTTTCGTGACCGGCAACGGATCGCAACCCTCAGTGTCGCGCCCGTACCGGACCAGGACCGGCAACGGGATCGCAACCCTCGGTGTTGCACCTGCACCTCGCTCAGCCAGTGAGTGGCCGGTCTGTATGTGGGATCCGAACCCTCGGCGGGAGCGCAGCCACACTCCCAAGCAGCGCACTGTAGCAGTGCGCCACCGGGCTGGCCCCCGATATCTGGTTTCTAACTGGTCATTACTTGGTATATAGGAAAGCTGTTGATTTTTATGTAAATTTTATAATTAACCATCAGGTTCTGTTTCTGTAATTAACCATCAGACTCTGTTTCTCTTAGTTTTTGGTTGGTTCTCTTGAGTTTTTAAGTATACAGTCTCATATTAAGGTAATGTTAATTTTGTCTCTTCCTTTCTGATATGTATTCTTATGTTATGCTTATCTAATTGTACTGACTAATACTTCCAGAGCAATGCTGAGTAGTGGTGATGATGACAGACATCCTTTTCTTGTTTTCCCTACTTTTATGCAAGTACTTGTAGTATTTCAGCATTAAGCAGGAATCCTGCTTTTAGTTGGAGTTGTGTGGATTTTTAAAAAATCATATTAATGAAATATCCATCTACTTCTATTATAAAATTTTTTTAAAAATCAGGAGTAGTTTCAGGTAACTTTTCTAGTATCTGTTGTTGATGACCATGAGGTTTTTTCATTTCTTTTTAAGAATGTTCTGCTGGAAGAGTTTCTTTTTTGCTAATATTTTTATTAAGATTTTGGCATCTATATTCATAGATGAGATTAGTCCTTATTTTCAATTCAGGGGTATCTTATGAGCAACATATTATTGGATTCCCTTTTGCAGTCTAATTATAGTTTCTTTAAGGAGAAAATTTTATATCAAGTTGTTAATACTTGTTCTGTTTGCTGTTGGTTAGTTTTTCTATTCTGTTATTTAAACCTTTTATTTCCTTTCTCACAGATCCTTTATTGTACATTGACTGTGCTTGAATATAACTGTTAAATTTAGTTTGGAAAGTACTTACATTAAAACAAATTACTTATTTCTTTATTGATTAAAGTATCTCTCTTACAGAAGATAAAGAATTCTTTTTGACTTTATCCTCTTTTTATAGCTTCCCATTCTGATGATCCGGAATCCTCTTCCCCCCTTATTAGGTTATTATCTACATCTTACTTTTGCCAGTTATTTATTTTTATTAGATAGAACTGTTTGTTATTAATTTTTTACTAACACATCCAAGTTAGTAATATATTCCTTTTATTAAAAAATGTCCATTTGTATGTTTTGAGAGAAAAGGGGTTTGATTGTAAAATCTGCCTTTCCAGGGAGCACTTCTCTGACTCTGTCATATGGTGTTTCCAGGTCGATCCTCACATTTGGCTCCCAATAAACTTTACAAAATTTAAAAAATAAAATAAAATCTACCTTTTCAGTACATGAATACAAGGTCCTGCTTAGGAAAACATGGCCATAAATGCCAGAATAATGTTTGAAAAGTCAAGTTAGCCAAGAGTTGGCCACGGGAGAGGTCGGGGGAGTGGTTAACCACAAAAATCAGCAAAATATACTAAATTTCAAGCTATTAAGGACTGGCTGGGGGAAAAAAAGAAAAAATATAGGGAGAAAGTGTTTTAAGCCTTTGTTTTCTGAAAGATTGAAAAAAGAAAGTGTTTCAAGAGTAATTATGGAACAGACCTTTAAGGCCAACTAATCTAGGTTATTTTGGAAGCAGATGCTTTCTTGTGTGTTTATTTACTGTAGTCAGTGCCAATTGTATTGTCTTTTCCTGTCTTTTCTAAGTGACTTTGATATTGTCAACCAAAATTCTCATAAGAATAACCAGTTGCATCCCCATCTCCACTGCTTGGAGAGGGTTACCAAACCCTCCCCCAGTTTTTTTTCTAAAAAGGTGTTTATTTCTTTGAAAAATAGGGAGGTTCCCCCCATCTCTTTTTTAGGAAGTATACTCCCTTTTTAGGCTACAGGGATATGAAAATAGCACTATAAAAAAATAAAAAGATGGGACTCCTAGTTTCCAAAAGAAAATTCTGGCTTTCCAGAATAATTAAGAAGATCAAATACTTTTTGTGTGTAGATAGATTATAATGATTTGAAGTATACCTGTCTTTGTCTTTTGCTTTAGGAGAGTTTCCAGTCCTAATTGAGAGTGTGTGTGTGTAATTTTTAAGAATAGTTACAAATTACAAAATAATTTTCCTTTTCTAATCAAAATGCTTACTGCGTTTACTCTTAGGAGAAACTATAATGTAAAATTATGTTTATATGAACTTTGATTCAGCATCATCTTATATAATTTGATGCCTATGCCTACGGTTTGAAAGCAATCAGAAAAGGTGTGTTATGTGAGTATATTCTTAGGTTTGAGGGTTTTTTCCTTTTTTTTTTCCTTTCATTTTGGCAGTTAGCCAGTACAGAAATCCAAACTCTTGACCTTGGTGTTACCAGTACCACACTCCGACTGAGCTAACTGGCCAGCCCTTTTTCCTTGTCTTTTACAAAATACACAGAAATAGGCTGTGTGTATTTGTGAATGTGTGTGTTTATATGTTGCAGCTGTTCATAGCTGTGTCTAAACTTTCTGCTGTTCAAATTAGATAAAAGACTAATTGTATATTTGATTACAGGTGTCCCATTTCCCAAAAACTTTATGTCTGTTGCAAAGACCATTCTAAAGCGTCTGTTCAGGGTTTATGCCCATATTTATCACCAGCACTTTGATTCTGTGATGCAGTTGCAAGAGGAGGCCCACCTCAACACCTCCTTTAAGCACTTTATTTTCTTTGTTCAGGTAAGTTGAACCATGTTGATGTCTTTGTCCTTTAATTTGGACTTACTTGGATTCGTAACTTTAATAAAGAGCAGTGTGTCTTATTTATAGATGTAGAGCTAAGGATAAGCAGGGTTCTTTTCTGTGTTGTTCTCTTTTCCATATTACTCATTTCATTGATGTGTGCAGCAGCATAAAAAGGCATCACCCCCATTTTGGGCCACCGGCTTCTGGCTTCCTCAAGTCTCTGGTTAGGTTATACCATTCAGGGACGTGGCCTGTTGACTTATGAGCCGTCAGTTAGAATTGGAACTATTTAAAATCAAAATCATTCACATTGTTTGAAAAAGATATCAGAGAATTGGGACTCCTTTAGCCTAACTTTAGAGATATATAACTCTATGCAAAATGTAAATATGTCTGTCTAGATATTGTTTTATGGTGGAAAAACCTGATAGCTTTATAGTAGACATTATGTATTATGGTTCTGTATACCACACAAAGGAGAATGTACCATGCTTCTCCCGATTTTCCTTCTGAGGTTATTGTATGGCATGCTGTGTGTGTGTATAAAAGTAAAAGGTCCACTGTCCCAGAGGTGGCCACTGTCAAAGTTTCAGTTTGTAGTTCTCAGGTAATTTCTATGTAAATTTAAACATACTTTATATACAATTTTGATTTTAATGTTTAACACAGTCAGAATCTTATAATACCTACAGTTGCTTATTTAATAAGTCCCTTATTGTAAGGATATAGGAGAAAACAAATTCAGTTTCTCCTATTATACTCTCACAACATATAGCAACTCTGTGACCAAATGTGTGGGATCTCTTCCCCACACACCAAGCAAGCAATCAGTTCTACAGCAGATACCAGCTGGGTGTCCTCTGATTCAATTCAGTTCTGACACTGTCTACCTGAAGGTAGTGTCAGATCCCCCAGATTGAGAGCTCAGTCCCACAAGACTGTGCCCCACTTTAGACACCAATCAAAAGTAATAGGTTGTCACCTTCGCTTCTGGCCAATTGGCTATAAACTGGGGTTCTCACAGCCCCCTCCTTGGGTTCTGTTAATTTGTTAGAGTGGCTCGTAGAACTTGGGGAAACACTTAACGTTTATACATTTATTATAAAGGATATTACAAAGGATACGGATGAAGAGGTGCATAGGGTGAGGTATGGGGGAAGAAGCATGGTGCTTCCATGCCCTCCCCAGGTGCACTACCCTCCAGGAACTTTCTGTGTGTTCAGCTATCTAGAAGCTCTCCATACCTGTCCTTTGGGTTTTTATGGAGGCTTCATTACTTGGCTGTGATTGATTATATCATTAGCTATTGGTGATCAACTCAACTTTCAGTCCCTCCCCACTCCCCAGAGTTGGAGAGTAGGGTTTGAAAGTCCCAACCCTGTAATCATGACAGGTCTTTCTATTTACCAGCCCCCATTCTGAAGATATCTAGGGGTCCCCAGCCACCAGTCATCTCATTAGCATACAAAAGATAGTTTTATCACTCTTGAGATTCCAAGGATTTTAGGAGCACAGGGACCAAATATGTATCTCACACTATCACACCTTTATTTTTTAAAAAAAGAGTGAAAACAATCCTATTTTTAAATGTTCACAGAGATAGTTTCATCATTCTTTTGGATTTCAGAAAACTAGGGTTGGGAGTTTTATTTTTGATCCATTTAAATGTTTGTTTTCTTTTTTAGGAGTTTAATCTGATTGATAGGCGTGAGCTGGCACCTCTTCAGGAATTAATTGAGAAGCTTGGATCAAAAGACAGATAAATGTTTCTTCTAGAACACACCCTTTTGCTTCATCTACTGCTAGAGCTATCTCATTGCTATCTTTTAGAGACTAGTGATACAAACTTTAAGAAAGCAGGATAAAAAGATACCCATTGTCTGAATATACTGATAAAATTGTCCCAAAGGTAGGTTGGTGTAATAGCTTCAGAGTGAGACTTTAAGGGCACAGCCTAATCTGAGGTACTGTGTGACCAACTGTGTTATTGTCACAAAGTCATACTTGGTTGTAATTATGTGATGACTAATCTGTAGTTTATTAGTTTACTTATTATTCTTTTACTCAAGAAAATGATTGAGTCTGTTTCAGGTGACAGCATAATGGATATTAAGAATCTCCACCAAAAAGTTTCAAGAACAAATTTTTTTTTTTTTCTAAAATGACTGGTAAGGGGATCTTAACCCTTGACTTGCTGTTGTCAGCACCATGCTCTCCGAAGTGAGCTAACCGGCCATCCCTATATGGGATCCGAACCCATGGCCTTGGTGTTATCAGCACCACACTCTCCCGAGTGAGCCACGGGCCAGCCCTAAGAACAAATTTTCTAATAATAATCATATCAGTTTTATTCTGCTTTTATTTTATGAATAGAAAAAGTATTTTTAAGTTTCTTTAAGATTTAGAACATTTTTATCACTTTGGATAACCTGTTAGTTTAAAGATTGTATGCTGGTGTTTTTATAGATAAGAATATATATGTGTATTTTTTCAAAATCCATGATTGCAGTTTAAATCATCATATGGCTTCTGTGGAATGGGAGTAACCAAAGTTACTTTATTTTTTAAACTTTTACTTGGGATTTCGTTCACATCTGTCTAAATTATTAGGATTGTGTGTGTATCCGAATTTTTTTTTACAGCTTCTAAGGATGTTCTTTTAGGTTTTTATTTTGAAGTGCATAATTCAAGTTAATTTAAAATATAGCTCTTGGCTGAGAAAAAGAAAACTTCCAAGAAATTATGACAGACTTAGGTCTTACAGCCACTATTTTCATGCACATTGTTTTTCAGAGGCCTTGAAACACTTGGTAAGAGAATGGGAGAAAGTACTCAGAGTACTTTATTATTTTGTTTCCTTTTTTAAAAATATAACTTCTAGGTTTCTATTGTGACTTGAGACTTAGTTAAGAGTAATGTAGAAATGCACAAACTTTATCCCAGTAAGGATAAAACTTAAGGAAAACCACAATAAAAACCCTTGAAGGTGTACACATTTTTTAGCACAGCTAAAGGTTTGGTGTGCTACCTATTCTTTAGAGTGAGTGAGAGTGTGTGCATGTATGTGTGTGTTTGTGTGTTTAAAGAAGACAGAATGAGAGGAATAAGTAAAAAATATCTTACTTCATTCTTTTAATATTCAAAGGATGGATTGAGCCCCTATAGGGGTTTTATCCTGTTCTAATTGCTTTTGTATCAAAACTTGAAATTCTTCCATTTCTATTGGGATAAAAGAATCTTCCCCTTTAGTAAAGAAAACATCTGTTTTTCATTTGGTTCCTAGGATTTAGTAAATGCTAGTTGAGTATTTAAAATGTATTGAGGCAGAACAAGTATACTAGAAGACTTGCCAGACTGGCAGAGGTTTAAATTCATCACTCTCTGTTTCAGAGCTGTGATTTTTGCAAAGTACTCACCAACCTCCTTGACAGCTTTTTAAAAGGTTAGATTTGATAAAGTTCTTTTTTTTTTTTTTTTTGTTATTCCACTAGGCTATAAAGAAAGTAATTGCTTGAAACTCCATTCTTAATAAATCAATTTAAATAAATTCTTAAATATGTACGGAATTTTAAAGGAAATAAAACTTTTAATGTAATTTAGGTTGAAACCATACATCATTGTTTGAAGAATTAAAGAATGGGATAATCACTTATGAAAAAAAAAAAGAAAAATCCCCTTTCAAACATAGCACAATCCACATTTTAAGCTTATACAAAAGTCCAGATGTCGGCCATTCTGTATGTTTATGTTGATCATTTGTGACAGGAAAGCAGGTTTCTAGATGTCACCTAGAACATTACTGCCTCTCAACTTTAAACTGCTGGATTTAATTTTTTTTAAGTCTGCAAGGAATGAAATTGTTTCTCTATTAGGATTGTACTTTCATCATTATTTCTAATATTTCAAATATTCTCAAACAAAATTCTCATTTTTCTCCATTTATTCTCAGTGACAGAAATCCTCTCTTTCTTCATGACTAAGCCCCAAAATAAGCCAAAGATGGTCACATGCTAGGACATAGTAAAGGCAGCTTATTAATGGGACATTAATCAAAAATTTGTTAATTTGAAATTCAGTGTCCTTTTTTTTAAAAAAAAATAAAAACATTACCAGGTTCCCAAGGCAATCTGGCTTAACCAACAATGCACCTAAACATTGTGTTAACATTATTTGTTTACTTCCAAGGCCAGAGAGTCGAAGGCAAGAAGAGAATTGGAGGAAAGGGAGAGAGGGGAAAGAACATGTTGCTTTCCTGATTTCGCTGGAGGGCCAACTTTTGATAAGAGGTTGAAGAAATCAGTCTCATTGATTCCTGGCACTTTTGATTTCTCTGCCAATGCCCAGGGTCTGCCAGTTGTTGACAACATTGACTCTCCTCTCCCCCTCCTAATCAGAAGTCATCATCTCTCAGTGTCTGATCTCTGCTCCTCATACATGATTACAATCACAGGGGGAGAGTGCTTGCTAAATTATGTGGTTAATCCCATGGTGCTTTAATTTTCAGGCCTTTTTAAAAACTTGGACAATGAATGATGTGCAGATTTTTGTTTAAATATTCAAACTTCCTTGTACTACAGTTTTTGTATTGACAGCCAAATGTATCTTTTATTCTTCTTCAGATTGTGAATAAAGTGATTTTAGAGGGCTGCCAGCTAACAAAGTATTTCCTTTCATCTTAGACTTGTAGAGCCCTAGCTCATGTACTTACTTGAGATGTGCAAATCTGTATTCACCATGACTTTGATAACAAAGGTAAAGTTTTTCTAGTAGTGCAGAGGTAAGAGACGATAGTAACTTTTGCAAACATTGTTGGGGTTTCCTGATTATACCACTGGCCTTTTTTTTTTGAGCAGTGAGTTATACTAGAAAGAGAGCTTCTCAAATGTAACGTCATTGCCTCGTTAGCTGAAACAAATCAGGCCCAAAGAGTATGAGTCCTAGAAATTTGTTTTAAAGCAGCCCCAGTCATGGTGCTGGTGCCACCCCTGCCTTGTTAGAGGAGGCTGTCTCCTGCCAGTATGGAAGCCTGGCCTGAAAGATGCCATGTAGGCACCAAACACTGAGCATCTTCAACAGGAATATTATTTCCTCCTGAGATCAGTTCAGTAAGTGGATTGGTTTCTACTATTGTAGAATTCTGGCAAAGAGGGAAAATAATAGTCCTTTGATATTCCTATTTTTGCATTTGATTTGATATTTCAGACTATAAAAGGCTTTTGGGGATGATATTACATGTGGTAGTAGTAATTTAGTGAAGTAACTGCATTGACATTCACTTGGGTTTTCTCTCATCAAACTCTATTCCAAACAGGTATTCTGTAAATCCAAATGGATTACCGGTGTGCTATAGACTCATTATAGACATTCTCTGTTAGGTCTATGTTGGAAATAGTTTGCATAAGTTAGTCTTGGTTACCATCTAAAATATTTTTAAATGCTCTACATAAAAATTTATGTTGTATTTTTAAACGTTTATGGGGCTTTATCTATTTTTCTAAGTCAGTTAACTGTACTTTTTAAAAAAGTATTTTGTATCTACTTTTGTAACTTCATCAGAATAAAATATATTGAAAGCAAGAAATGACTGATTAAAGTATGTGTCTCAACACACTTATTTCTATTTAAATATAGAAACGAGATTTTTGCAGGTTTTATGGATTTTGAGTACAGCTTAAATTTGGAAGGTTATCTTTGCATATCATTTAGTAGATAAAAATGTTTTCTTAGCCCTTAAAGGGAAGTTCCTGTTGGTCCGAGTGCAGTGATGTTTACAACTAATTGATCACAACTAGTTACAGATTTCTTTGTTCCTTCGCCAGTTCCACTGCTTCACTTAAATGGCTTTTAAAAAAAGAAGAAAGGGAAGTTCATAAGTGTAGTAACTATCTTGTAAAACCAGGACCCTACCCACTAGAACTGTGCCTCTGACAATAGGAGCTAAAACCCATCTCAGACAAAAATGAGTAGTTTCCTTCCTACCGTGCTAACCAGGCTCTGGACCCCTTTCATACATTCCTGGTTATGGGACTGAGAAAAGGGAAGAGGGACTGGACTGTAATTTTCTGACCTTGAAATAGAGTTCTCAGTACATATCCTTAAAACACCCCTCATCTCAAACAACTATCTTTCATTATTGCAGAAGAAATTAGCAGAGTTATTTTTAGAGCTTCAAATTACAGGTACATTTTAGGTTTATTTAAAATATCTAGAATTGTTTTGACCTTTTTTGAGTAGACTTAAAATTAAAAACTTAATGAATATGACTAAAAAATATGGGTTAACACTCATTTGAATAAGATGGGTAAGCTGGCAATCAGTTTTGGATTTTTTTGACAGTTTCAGTAGGCTTAAAATCACTTGCAAAAATGAGAAGTTTATAAGGGTATACAATGGCTAAACCTTTGAAAGCCATTTCAAACTTTTTAAAAGAGTAGTAGAATAACCCAAATAATCTTTGGGAGGGCCAGAATCAAGCTTTGAACCTGCACAGGCAAAGCAATGTCCAAACCATGCCTTAGGCGTTCTCGAAAGGAAACACCCCATTGATGTCCCTAATAGGTATGGACACTACAGCCTGCACCATTATCACTGGCCACTAGATGTCAGTCTCTACCATGGTGCCTTCCAAAAGCTAGATGCCTCTACTCTGTCCAAAAGGGTTTTGTTGTTTTTTTTTTAACCAGTACTTCCTTCTTTTTGTGTGTTTTCCTAATCAAAAACTTACATGGGTGCCTCTTATTGGCAGATCCTAGGTCATATACCTCTGTCCTAGCTGCAAGAGGGAGGGGGAAGAAGCTTCTGGGTTTTATTTGGAGGTGTGGGGCTCATATCAAAGTAGTTTAAAGGATGCTAGGTGGTCCAAAAACTCGGACTGGCTGCTGCTGTGTGAGCTTTTTATTCCTGTTCTGTGAAAAGATAATGAGTTTTCATCAGAATGTAAGAAAATGCACTGTTAGTTTATTTTTTTTTGTAGTAGACTTGCTAAGTGAAGGAAATAGATTGATTTTGATTCTGGTCAGGCTTCTTATCTTGTGCCTAACCAGCACTTTGAATATTATTTCCCTAAGTGAACCTGCCTGTTTTGAGGGAATCCTTTGGTAGATTATCTCATTTAATCCTTACAGCAGCCTGGGGAAGTGGTGGCAATTGAGAGTTACGCTAGGAATTTTTCAGTGTTTTTCAGACCATGTCACAAAAACTCAA